CTGAGAAAGGAGAGCCTGGGGGTCTGGACTCTTGGATCTGAGAGAGGAGGGACTGGGGTCTGAGGTAGGAGGGGGCTGGGTGGGTAGAGTCCTGATCTGAGAGAGGAGGGGGCTGGAAGTCAGGGCTCCTAGTCTGAAGGAGGAGGGGGCTGCTGTCTGGGATCCCATAGGTGGAAGGGCTCGATGGCACTGAAATGACAACTCTTGCTCCCTCTGGGATAGTTCTACTCTCTCACACACGGGGTCGCCTAGACTTGAATCAACGCCTGTTTTCACTGTTGCTCTGTCCTGGCACTGGCCCAGAGCCCCCGTTCCCTTGGGTCGGTCCATCCCCCAGGCTGGTGGCCTGAGTCACCTTGGCCGGCCCAGCCATCTGGGGGGGAGGGGGCTACGTCAGCTTTCCCCTTACTGACGCAGCCTGGGGCCCCCCACACTGACTCAGCCGGAAACAGGCCCCCTGAGGGGCGGAGGCCTGGTGGTCAGGAGGCCTGGGTCCCCGCGGGAGAGGGGTTGGGGAGGCCCCTGGGGGGCCCTGGAGGGGGTGGCTGTGACAGACTGAGTGAGCTCTCTCACCTGAGGTGATGAAGTCATGTCCCACCATGGGGGGGCTGTGACATCACCTCCCTGGGGACCTGAGCCTTTGCACCCCCCAGTGGTGGGGGATGGGAGGGAAATGACTCCAGCTACCATTTCTCCCTATAGTCCCGGGACCAACTCTGCAGCCTCCTAGGCTGGGGGTGGCTTGGGGAGGGGCTCAGGCGCCTGCTCTGCAGGGGGATCCTTTGAAGTTCTTGTCACCTCCTGTCCCCTTTTCATCCACCACCTCCATCCTGGGGACATGAGTTAAGTCTCTGTACCTTGGTTGGTTGCTGTACTGCTCATTCTGGGGACCCTCTGTCCCCGTATTTCTGGTGCTCCAAGTCTGTGCCCTGGTATCCCCCATCACTGGGTACCCCTTGATTCTCTCTCTCCCCTGCCCACCTTTCTCATTCTGCATCAATCTCTGCCTGGTGGTCTACCTGCCCTGTCCAGCCACACTCTGTGATTCAGTCCACCGACCCCCTTCGTTTCTCCCCAGTGTCCCATCTCCTCCGGTGGTACTGTGTCTCTCTCTGCTCTCTGTCCCCCCTCCCTCTTTTCTCCCCCTCCCCTGTCACTTGGATTTATGAATAAAAATGAACGAGGAGACGAACAGTGGTTAACATTTATTGAGTGTTGGCTGTATGCTTGATGTGAAGGAACCTCACTTCATCCTCACCACGAGTGTTTAGGGGTGGGCACTCTTGTCTCCATTTTAGAGAGGGGGAAACTGAGGCACAGAGGGGTGGAACTGGGTGCCCCAGGTCCTCTACCAAGTGTCTTCTTGTCTCTCTGTCTTGGTTCTCATGTCTTTTACCTTTGTGTCAACTCTACCTGGTTCATTGTGACAGGTTCTTTCTCTCTCTGTCCCCTGTCCTGTCCCAGAGTCCACCGCAGCGCCTCCATTTCTGCTTCTTCAGGCCTCTCCAGCTCTGTTGTCCTGCCCCAGCTCTGTCTCTGAGCACTTTCTCTGTCTCCTCTCTGTGTGTCTCAATGTCTCTGTTCCTTTTCTTCGTGGAGTCTCACTGCATCTCTGCACATCTCTGTTGTTTGTTCAGACTCTGCTCCTTTGTGTCTTCACTGCTGCCTGTCTGTCCCTGTCTGTATCTCCGGTGAAGCTCTTCAACTACCTGCATCTCTCTATACGTCTCTCCATGTCTCTCTACATCTTTCCATCTCTCTGTATGTCTCTCTATCTCTGTACACATCTCTCTATGTCTCTCAGTCTCTCTTACTCTCTCCATTTCGGTGTCTTAGTCTCTCCATCTTTCGGTCTCAGAGTCTTTCTAGCTCTTGGTCCAGTCTCTCCATCCCTCTGCCTCAGTATCTCTCCCTCTCTGGGCCTCAGTCTCTGTGTCTCTGCCTCAGTATCTCTCCCTCTCTGGGCATCTGTCTCTGTGTCTCTGCCTCAGTATCTCTCCTCTCTGGGCATCTGTCTCTGT